GCGAGCCAATGTATGTGAAGAATATGGATATGGATAGGTGGTCCTATTTTGAAGCCGTGGAAATTGTAAAAAAAGACTTCGCATGTGGAGAGCATTCTGTTAGGTTGTGGTGGAAATTTGGTCCTTTTGATTTCAAAGAGATTAATTGTGATAGTGTTGCATTAGACATGGCAAACTTTGCAATTACTAACAATGTGGAAGTGGAAATGTTTGCAATTTGTGATGGTGGCAATGAAGGTGTTGTTGGGGACAATTTCTGTAACAGTGATGATGACTCTGTGAGGGATGTTCGGTTGGATGATTTAGAGGAGGAGAGGACTGCTGGATTAGATGATGAATTTGATATAGAAGTTCCTCAATTTGGTCGAATCAAACGTACTCGAAAGAAGATAGTTGCAAGAAAACAACATGATGATACTGAGGAGGAGCAGGAAAATGTTGCTCATAGTGTTCACAACCCTGACTTAGAAGGTGTCAAAGTTGAAGTAGTTTGGGTTGCTGAGGATGAAAAGCCTGTTGAAATGACTGGTCTTGAACGTGACTTACCAAGTGCTATGCAAAGTGATGCACATAAAAATCCTACTAGTGCTGCTTGGAATGATGTTGGTGACGGGGATGCTGCTGGTGATAGGGATGGTGTTGTTGACAGAAATGCTGGGAATGATGCTGGAATTGATGCCAATGTTGTTGTTGGAAAAAAAAAGAAAGAAAGGAAAAGGTGGTAGAAAAAAAGATCCGAATAGAAATACAAAGAATTATGGATTGCATCACAAAGGTTTTGTAAATGCTAGTGAATTTTATAGCTCACAGAGAGTAGAAGAAGATATTGAGCATGGGTATGCTAGTGAGACTTTGAAAAGTGATGACTCTGAGGAAGATGGCCTACGTAGGAAATATGAGCGGTTTAACATAGATTTGTTGAACAAAGACTTCAAGTGGAAGTTAGGATTGGAATTTGGTTTTATTAAAGAATTTAAAGAAGCAATCTTAGAGTACAATGTGTTGAATGGAAAGGAGATAAGGTTTGACTTTAACGACAAGAAGAGAGTCAGGGCAAGGTGTAAACATTGTGTTGAGTACTCTGTGTATGTGAGCAAGGTCAGCAATTGTGAGACTTATAGGCTGAATACTTTGCATGATAAACACGCATGTGGAAGGGTTTTTCATAAAAAACTTGTGGCTCTGGTGCATCAACTATATTCTCCATATTTTCATTCACGTATTCCTTATTATTAGTGGCCTTGGTAGGAGGTTCTAGCTCAACATTAATATCCCCATGAATAACCTGTTTTGACTTCTCCTTCTTACGGATCCCAAAACTTGTAATCAAAACATCACAACTATAACCAAAGAAAATACATTGTTTAGACTTACCATCTAGCTTGGATCTTTCATCTCTAGGGATATCAACAAATGTCTTGCAGCCAAACACACTTAAGTAGCTAAGGAAGATATATTTCCCTCTCCTCACCCTCTCTAGAACATCATTATCAAGAGGAACAAGGGAGAAAGGTTGATAAGTCCATTACAATTTTCAATGCTTCACCCCAAAAGGCTTTAGGTAATTTGGCATGAGAGAGCATGCATATGATTATATCATTAATCATGTGATTCATTTTCTTTACAGCCTCATTATGTTGAGGGGTCCTTTGGAACTGTCTTCTCAAGCTTGATGCCATGGTTCCTACAATTGTGTTCAAATGGACTGTTATATTCACCACGTTATCTGCTTTGACGCACTTCAATAATTTGTCTATTTACTCTTTCAACACTTACATGAAAATGTTTGAACACATCAAATATCTGATCTTTGGATTTTAAAACAAAAACCAACACTTTTTTAGAATGGTCAACAATAAAAGTTACATCTTTAGATTTTGATGCAATATATCAATCAAAGAAATTATTCTCTTTTGATTTTTCACAAATTCAATTTATGCTCATTAATAATTTCATTCCATTTAATTAAATTTGTTTAATATTCAACATGTCATTAATTTGAGTTAAACTAGATTCTGTTCTTTTAAACAAAGTTCAAGTTTGAGAGTTGTGATAAAGAAAATAAGATTAGGAGACAAAATTCTAAACAAAGTTTTAAAACAAATTGTTTAACAAATATTAGTCATTAGTAAAATAGACTATTTTTTTTTCATCAATAACATGTGACAAAAAAAATATTTAATCAAAATTTAAAATATGTAACTTCTTTAGTTAAGCTAAAATACGTGTGGTTGAATTCATTTATTTTAATATTGGAAGTTAAATTATTTAATTAATATTTTTAAAAAAAAAACGTTATAAAATAATCATGAGTATATATTTGAATTTCGGTCAATAAAAAACATCGCGATCTAGAGCTTTCCAAATTGTAATCCACGCGTTTATCATTACTTTTGTGGTCGGAAAGAAAAAATTAATATGTACATAGTTAATAATTTGACCATTTAAAATCCAATAAGTCGATTTTGGCCAACATGACGCCAAACCCGACCCATTTCAGTATCTATATATAGCAAATGAAGAATTAGGAATACCAGCTAATTATTAAAATATCATGAGTTCAGGAAATTGTATGGATAGGAAGCATTATGTTCTGGTGCATGGGGCATGCCATGGAGCTTGGTGTTGGTATAAGCTCAAACCACTCTTGGAATCTGCAGGACACAAGGTCACAGTGCTTGATCTAGCAGCTTCTGGCATCAACATGCAGAAAATAGAAGATGTTGAAACTTTCTCAGAGTATTCTGAGCCTTTGTTGCAGCTATTGGCCACACTTCCCACAAATGAGAAGGTAGTTCTAGTTGGTCACAGCCTTGGGGGATTGAACATAGCACTTGCCATGGACCAATTCCCAGAAAAGATAGCTGTTGGTGTTTTCTTAACAGCAGTTATTCCAGACACTGAACACAGACCATCCTATGTCTTGGAAAAGGTTTGCTTCTCTGCTTCTCTTGAACAAACTGTACTTCTCAATTTTTACACCCCACTCAAGTCCATATGTTGTGAAATGAAATAGAAATATTAAGACTAACAAATTTAAGTATTTGTATCCACTTAGTAATATTTTAGTATATGGTTATGTTTAAACTGTTTTTATTATACCCAACACATTTACATCTTATTATTTGCTGACAAAGAAAAAGGTGGGTAAATTTCACTTATCCTTGCTTTTAATTTTTTTCTTCAACAGTTCATTGAAAGTATCCCAGCGGAGAATTGGTTAGACAGTGAATTCTCCCAGAGTGGAAACAAATCAATAGTTGTTTTTGGTCACAAATTCTTGTCCGAGCAACTCTACCAAGCCTCCTCTATTGAGGTAATTACATGTCAACCCTCTACTCTATGTTATTAAAGTATTGAATATATATAATGTCCAAAATGTGACAAGCTTTTATGTCTGCAAAAAATAAAAATATGGATTGGTTTTGTAGGATCGAGAATTGGCCAAGACTTTATTAAGGCCAGGGTCTCTCTTTATCGAGGACTTGTCCCAGCAGAAAAACTTTTCCAAACAAGGATATGGGTCAGTTCCTCTTGCTTTTATTGTTTGCACTGAAGACCTTGGAATTCCATTGAATTTCCAGCACTGGATGATTCAAAATGCTGGTATCAATGTCGACGTTGTAGAGATCAAAGGCGCTGATCATATGGCTATGCTTAGCAAGCCACAACAACTATGTGATTCTCTCCAGCAGATTGCTACCAAATATGAATGAAATTATGAAATTTGTTGTGTTCAAAATTGACTTATACTTGAATAAAGTGATATTCTTGCAGAAATTATTGGGAATTTGCTTTCTTATTTTTAAAATAGAATAATGTTAATATTTAATTCTTGTATCATAATTTTTTTTTATGTAAAAAGTTTCTAAATAAAATTAGATCGTGTTTCCACATCGTTAAAATAATAAGAGAAATAAGAGTTTATAAAATATTTATATTTCATTGATCAAAGGCTTTTTAGGTAATAGCACGAAATAAAATTATGAGAGTGAAAATCCAAAGTGAACGATATCTTATCGTTTTAAAATTGTTTGTGCAAATATCCTAGATATTCTAAAATAACTCAACAAAATAATAAATAAGATATAATTCTCCTCAATAAATATATCTCCTCTCTCCTCTTGATAAACATATTCCCTCTCAAACAAGTACAAACAATGATGTATCAAAACCACTGATTGAATACGATAACAACTAATAATCTCATGACCTATACATACAAACAATAACAAGAATACTATGTAAAGACATGTTCCCTTGAATGAGAAGATTGTTAGGATACAAATAAGGTGACACATCGTTAAAATAAGAAAAAACAAATAAAAATTTATAAAACAATATATTTTGGTCAAAGATCATTTGGACAATAAAAAAATAAAATCATAAGTATTGCAACCAAAATTGCGATGGAAAAGCAAAAAATTGGGATAAAATGAAGTCATTACCAATATTTATTTTTAGAAAAATATTGGAAATATTTCTTAAGAGTCATTTACATGTAGGAAAGATATTAACATCCTACAATGTCTATTAAAAATGGTTATTCTTAACTAAATGTGCACAATTAATATTACTTTAAAATTATTTTTTAACCCTTTAGAAAACTAAATTATTTAGCCTTTATTCTTATAGTGTTTCATTTTCATATTTATCATTAAACAAATTTTATTATATTTAGAAAAGAGAAGATTTTTTTTATATAAAAAAAAAATTAAGTTGACAATGGGGTTTTTTTACTTCTATATATCATCAAGTGTAATGAGAAAATCAAACTTAAATAATTTTTTTAGTAAAAATATTAGTGAATTAAGATTTTTAATTTTAATTTTTTATTTTACGAGTTATTTCGATAACTAAATAAGAATGAGATATAAAATGGTTATTACAATTAATATTAAGTTTTTGCAATAATCAAGCAGAAAGGAGATCCAAAATAATTAATTTTATCATTTAAAAGATTGTTTAATATACAATAAGGCTTTAATGATAATGAAATATGAAGGAGATCCACAATGATTATCATTATAGGTTTTTTTTATTAATACTTATTTTTAGACACAATTTAATATTTTTGTAGAAAAATTAATCTCTATAATAAAACAATAAGGAGATCCAAAATGATATCACCCACAAGTTTGTCATTTGAAAGATTGTTTAATATTTGACGACATTTTCATAATAATTATATAAGAAAGAGATTTAAAATAATTATCATTAGTAGTTTTCATTGGTATTTGTTTTTTAAGCTATTTACTAATTTTGATAAGATAATTTGCAATAAGTAAATAGGAAGAAAATTCTAAATAATTATTACTAGAATCTCAAATTGTTAAACTAAATAAGAAGAAGATCCAAAATAATTACCACTTATATTTATTCCTGTAACACTAATTTTTATAGTACTAAATTTAATACCAAATAATATCTTTCTTGTGGCTTACTAACACAACTATAAAATTAATAATATTTATCATAAATACGAAAGAAAATTATACATGAATTAACATGCACATAGTTAGATTTTATATACATAACATACTATTCTAAAATATTTACAATAATGCACTTATTTACAAACTATTTATTTTTATACTCTTATAATAATAATTACATAGATTGAAATAAATTTACTATTAGGCTAACATGATTGGCCGAGGTAGGTAGAAGGTAACTACTATAAGACCATCAATAACGGTGAGAATTTTCAGGTTTGGAGAAAATATGAAATTTGATAATCTTACGCCGTGAAAGGTAACCAAATTGGCAACTGCATGGACAGGAACATCCATCTGTTTGTATTATAATTAATTTAATTTTAAAATAAAGAAAAATAAAGAGTGAGTACAATTATCCAATAAATATAAATAATTAAATAGAATTTACAAAATTATTTGTAACCAAAATTAAATATATAATTTAGATTTTACTTGTCATAATAAAATTTAAATTATTCTTATAGTGACTAGTCAGGATAAATGAACTTTATCATAATCTCAAATAACAAAAGTGTTTTTCACCTTTAGATTTTTAGTCATTTAAATCTTCAAGGTTAAACTTCCAACTACAAATTAATTCAAATTTTCATTCTTATGACTATAGATTAACATTTATCTTTATAATGAATAATGATATAATAATAAAATGAGCATAGAAAAAATTAACAAGGCTAGGTTAGAGTTAAAATTAATATAAAAATAATTAAGGCAAATAAATTGTAATATTTTTAATTATTTAGAATTTAGTATAATATAATTTACAGAAATATGATGTATTAAAGAGTATTAATTTAGTAAAAGATAGTTATAAATGACATAAATTAATTAAAAAACATAAATTAGGAACACTTCATTAATTAAACAAGATTAAACAAGTAAACAAGGTTAGAGACACCTTACTATATAAATATTCATAAATATAACTTAAAGTAAATAAATATAATAATATAGAAAATTTAAAAGGGATAAAAATCTCATCCTTTTACCTTAAAAGAGTGTAATCGTTTTAAAGATAGCTTAAAAGAAATTCTTTCTTCACTTTTCTCTCTTGTGGTCCTACTCTGTTTTTCTTACTCAAATGCTCTCACCCTTTCTAAAATCTTCTACTGAATGGTCCCCCACCTTGTTACTATTTATAGGCAAATTTTCATTTTGGATTACTCTTTTCGTGTTTAGTTGCTTAGAGATAACAGTTAGTAATATGAGATAAGCTGATAAGGTTTTGGACGTATAGTAGCAACAGATTATCTGCTGCAGATTTTTTTGTATAAATATATATATAATAATAATAATTTTTATAATAATATTTCCTATTTTTTCTAACCATAAATATATACACATATATATAAAATTTTAAAATAATTAGAATTTTAAAATTTTATAATATAATTAAATCTTATATATTTCCATTTTAATTTTACTAAAAATATTGTAATAAAAATTATAATGTACTATAATTATATAAAAATATTGTACTTAATTTCTATTTGTTTTAAAATATGGTAACTAAAGTTTAGATTATTATTTTAAGAATAAGATAATATTAATAAAAATTAAGAATATTATAATATTATATAAAAAAAATTAGGATATTACAATTATCAACAAATATTTTGGAAAATCTTAAATACATAATATTATATCAACGAGTTAGTTTATTAATTACTATACGAGAAAGAAAGCCATCATGCCAAAACGTAACATGCTAGTAATATATAGAAATTCATTTTATTCTATTTATATAAACTTATTAATACTAAATAATAAAATCACATTTTCATCTCCCATAGATCGGACGTGTACAACACATAATTTTGAAAATAAATATCATGACTACAACAATAAAAAAACCACCTTTTACAAATCCAAAGTAATAAATAAATAAAAACCACCTTTTACAAATCCAAAGCAATAAATAAATAAACCTATGTAAGAGTTAAAATTCATGAACCCAACTGGATATAATGCTACAATGTTGACATAGGTCCTATATTACCCCAAAGAAACATGTTGGATATATATATATACATATATCTACACGGCTATAAAAAAAATTATATTTAGTAACCAGTCGTATACAAAAAAAGGTAGAACATAAAGCCACGTATGACGTAAATATAGGAGATAGCTAGTAAAGCATGCAAAAGAGTAATCGATCATGAAACACATGTACAATCTTAACAATGAACTTAACCACATAAAGTAGCAAACGGTTACATAATTAACAAGTGTAAAATAAGTAAACTACCTTAAATGCAGACAGATCGGGTAATTAGTTTTGTTTTTTCACAACCCGAAAATAGTGCTTGTAGTCATACCAAGGTTGGAATCAACAATGATCGTGCTTATGCCAACATGAGTTGTAGATGGTGGTTAGACAAGTGTACGTAGTTTCTCCTCCCTTGCCTCTGCTTCACTAATTTCCTTTTTTTATTTTCCTCCATGATCTTTTAAGATTACCATTTACTTTTCAGAACCTTTTTTGTTCATCCCCTTTTCATTCTTTTGTTCCACTATATATAGAGTCAGAAATGTTGGCTCTTTCCATTGTTTATCTAGTGGATTAAGGACTTCTTTCTTAACTCCTTTTGGCCAAAGGATTGAGTGCCGTATAATGGTTTACTTGTACTTTACCGTTGGATTGTAAATCCTAAAGATGGAGCCAAATATAACATCTTAGCTTCCTAGGCTCTCTCTGCACTGTGACTTAATTATTTCTGTTGCAATCGGGGTTTCATTTCTCTTTTAATTTCATTTATTTTTATTTCATATTTTTTTAATCTAAAATGAGCTTAAGATAACCCAGTAAAAATAATAAAATAAACTTATCTGATCACGAAATCAAAAATGTGTAAAAAGTTATGTTATTTAGTAGCCCAAGATAGGGTCCAAGAAATATTATCAGAAACATTATAATAATATTAATTGAATTACATTTTGTGTTTATTTCAAATTGAGGCATGATGAAACTTTTTTTTTTAATTGGTTAATTAATCAACAATTGTACTACTATTAATAAATCAACCTAAACGATAATTGAATTTAAAAGACGTTGAATGACCAAACAACTAAATTGATTTTTCAATTATTTGAATATCAGATTACTTAAACTTTTTTTTTATATAGAATTAATCTCTACATGACTAAATAGAGAATATTTCAAGAGAAGACATTTTCAAGTAATGACCAAACTTTGGGAACATCAAATTGGATGGTGACTTTTAAATTAATAAAAAATTAATCAATAATTTAATCAAAGGAAAAGTGATTGATTACATAGGTGAACCATAAC